ACTATACATATATTGTTTCTCAAAACCATATTTTTAAAAGTTTCTCAAAAACTTTGCCCATCGGATTGATTTAGAGAACCTTGAAATATTGAGGACTCAATTGAGTTTTGGGATTAATTGAGTTGCATACATTTGTTTTAAAATTGCAGGTTATTCTATCTATTCCGATTTCCTTCACCATGTCAAATCCTAAACGTCCTAGGTCTTCATCTAGTCGTTCTAGTCGTCAACAAAATCCACCTCCAAATCCTCCTTCTATTCCAATTTCTAATCCCAATCCCACTGATCCTAACTTGACTATTCAAAATTCGTGTTTTAATCATCCTGGGTCTAGAAATCACCGATTTTGGTATTATCAATATTTCAATTCTTACAAAATCCGGGAAGAACGTATTCCTTCTCGTCAAGCTATGTTAGCTATTGATTTTAAATATCTTCCCATTTTACAAGAATGGAAATTTGATAAACTATTTTATCTTGAACCCATCGTTTACCATCAACTTGTTCGTATATTCTACTCTAATGCCGTATGTGTTAAAAACCAAGCTGAAACCGAAACCATAGGAATTCGTTCCTACCTCCTAGGACAATTCTTATATATTGACCCGGCATATATAGCCAATACATTTGGATTAGATAATGATGGTATCTCGAATGAAAACAAATTTTAGGTTCTCGTTATAAAAGAAGAGATAGTGCGAGTGTCTTAGACCTACATGAGCGTTTTCTTCATCTAATGATTCTTGGTGGTTTCGACCATCCGGAGGTCGTTATTCTACTCTTAGAGCTTTGGATCTTTGGTGGTTACATTGTTTCGAAACCGTATTAAAATTAACCTACCTCAGATTATTTTTGCTGAAATTGTTGAAACCGTAAATCTTGTTCCTAACAAGAAACACTGTTCATCTCTAGTTTACGGTTGCTTTTGAGTATCTGTTTTCCAAAGCTGGGCTTAGAGTCGGTCTAGATGCCGTTTTTCCTCTTAAGAAACAAATAAATCTTCTTTCCTTAACGAGAGCGGGATGGGTAAAGGATAAGAACCGGTGAATGGGTTCGTTCTTCTACTCCGGGAGCTAGTTCTTCACAAGCTCCACCCGAGGCTGACGAAGATCCCGAGTTTGAACAATTAATGAGGGATATTGATGAAGCTGAAGAAGAACCTGAACAACCCGAAGAGCAGCCCGAGGAGCAAGCACAACAAACGCATCCAATGCCTCCATATTTTTAATCCTTTATGGAGACATTCGATTTCCGATACGCTACCATGGACTCGCGCTTTTCCTCTATAGAGTCTCATTTATCCACAATGGGAGCTCAACAATTAGAGATTCTTCGGGAGATGCGTGCAAACAATGAATCAACCAACGCTCGTATCAATGAACTCACACACGAGATGGCCGCTATGCGAGCCCGTTTTCCTCCTACCGATCCGGATGCTTAATTTTATGTTTATCATTAAAACTTTGAACAAAATGAATATTGTTTCAACATTTTGAATTGTTTGATTTTGTGGATTGTTGGATTTTGGGTTTATGAATGGTGTGAACTTATATGTTTGGTGTTTTATTCATTTTTGCATCATTTACATTATCATTAGTAATATGACCAATTTTGCCATATCACATTATTTATGAATATTGATTTATGAAACTAATGGCTAACCTCTCTTTTGATTGTGATCTTAGCAGCTTAAGCTTATAATTAATAATCAATTGGCTAAATGATTTTCATAACCTTGTTTTACAATGTCTTTTTGATTTAACAAAAGGGGGAGAAGAATAAGTGTTAAATGTTTTACATGATAATTGAAGAAGTGTTAAAGTAAGGGGGAGTAATTTCAACAAAACTTGATTTCAAAAATCTTAAAATTACTAAAATGTTTTGTTATATCAAAAAGGGGGAGATTGTTGAAACATTTTAATATTTCGATATAACAAATTAAGTTAAATGGATTTTAAGATTTTCCAAATGATTTTCTAAGTATATTCGATATAACTATTCGAATATCAAAACATTACTCCAAATATTTCAAAAATCATTTTTGATCCTTACTTAAGTGTAAAATTAAGTTTTAATCATAAAACAATTTCAAAATAAATTTACAAAGTATTTCGAACCTATTCAAAGCCAAAAATTCCAGATTGCTCAGAGGGAACCGATTCCCCCCCATAGGAGGAACCGATTCCCCCCTGAATGGTTTGGCTCCGAGATTTCCAGAATGCTCGGAGGGAACCGATTCCCCCCAAGGGGGTACCGATTCCCCCCTGATTCAACGGTCGAAATATTTGAATTTTACACTTAGGGAACCGATTCCCTATGAGAGGGAACCGATTCCCCCCACGCTCCAAGCTGTTTTATTAAATGTTTTCACACTAAAACGGCTATAATATCTTCTCTAATTATCCCCAACGTTCAGAAGTGATCCAAGGTGTATTTAAGCAAGCTTAGAAGCCATTGATCAATAACAAGAAACATCAAGCAAATAGAATCAAGAGAGAATCAAAGAGAAAGCATCAAACCTCAAGTTTGAGCATTTCAAAGCCCATTTTCATTCAATATTCATTTTGCTTTCAAGAACACTTTTTGTGCTCAATTGTATTCATCTTTGAGTGTTCTTTTCTTTGTTCTAGAATTGTGCAAACATCTTACCTTGTGAGGTTTTCTTGTAAGTTTGCAAATTTGTAATCTTCTATTTGAGAAAAGAGTGTTCTCAAGAGTTGGGGTATACTCTTGAGGGAATTGTAAGGTTATCTCTTTGGCCTCAAAAGAAAGAACAAATTAGTGAATTTGTTGGAAAATCCTTAGTGTGGATAGCTAAGGTAGTGGACGTAGACTTTGTTTGAGAAAGTCGAACCACTGTAAATCGCTGTGCAATTATTTTCAATTTTCTGCAAAAGCTTCCACAAAATATTTTTTATTGCCAATTCACCCCCCTCTTGGCCAATTTCGTCATTCGATTAACTCAACATACTCTCTCGCATGGCGAGAGATATATTGGCCATTCCAATTACTTCAGTTGCTTCTGAATCTTCCTTTAGCATGGGGGTCGTATTTTGAACAAGTTGAGAGCCAAACTTTTACCTAAAAATGTTGAGATTTTTGTAACAGCTCGAAATTGGTTGTATGGTTTTGAACCAGAAGAAAGGGATGAAGAGTATCTTACTGTAGCTACTGATTCTTCCCTTTAAAGGTAAATATTTGATTTTCTTTATTTTTCTTATGTTTATTTCATTTAAATTGTTTATTAATGATTTTTTTCTTTTGTAGGGTGCTACTGCTTTTACATTTACAACAAGCACATTTGAATGAATTTGTGAATAATTCTTTCTTGATTATTCCCTTTTATGGTAATTTCTTTATTGTGTTTATTTCTTAATTTTCATTAATACTTAAAATAATTTTATTGTAGGGTGCTACTGCTTTTACATTTACTGTTTTTTCTTTAATTTTCATGAATTTCAGCAAGTATGCTACTGATTTTACATTTGCTGTTTTTTTATTAAATTTTCATAAATTTCAACAAGCATATAAATGTATGCTTTACCATTGTTTTAACTTCTGTAGGTTTGGTAAAGTTGGAAATGTTTGGCATTGTTGGTCATCATATTCCCCTTGGCTTTACCATTGATTGGATTGGTATGAATGCTAGGTGGATTACTTGTTGGTTGACTGTTGCCTTGTAAATTGTTGTTGTTGGTCTAATAGAACTCAACTGTTGTAAATTCTTATCTAATTAGTTACCCATGGTTAAATTATATTGGTGTTATTTTGGCTTTTCAAGCTAAAAAATGCCCATAATTTAATCATGTTGGCAACATTTAGATAAATTTGAGATAAAAAAAAAGCTCGATGAAGAAATTTCTGGTAGCAAAGTCGGTCTTTTATCCTTGTAAAACTTTTGTTATAAGATATGAGAGCTTAAATTTCAACGTAAATTTATTTACTTCATTTAATTGTAATTGTGTTGTATTGAGTTGTAATAAATTTAATTTGTACATCTATACATTTTGTTAGTTTCAATATTTATGAAGTTATTAAATTTTTAATCTCATATTCTAATATTATCAATAATTATAATCATGTTTAATATGTAAATTAAAAATTAAAGATAACTTATATTTAAGTTATTAATTATTACATAAAAATGATTCAGAAATCATTTTATAAAATTAATTTAATATCCATAATTTAATTTTTTAATATTATTATCATAATAAATATATAAAGTCAAATTAGTAATTTGAAGTAAATTTTGTAATGTAATGATGATAATTACTAATTTATTTTATATTTATTATTAATATCAACTCATTAATTTAATAATTTTTTGAATATATTTATAGGTTACAATTTATAAGTATAAAAAGTAAATACATTAATTCAATTATCATAGTTAATCTTGCATTGTAAATTGTGAAGAAATATTATGTCATATTGTAATATTAGATAATTATAATTTTTTAACTTTATCAATTATAACTTACAATTCAGGTAAATATCAAGTCAGATAAATATCAATTCAGTTTAATAACGTCGAATCATTTACAGGTTGAGTCAGTAACAGATCGGGTTTATAACAGGTCAGGTTGATAACATATCGAGTAATATCAGTTATTTGTTAGGTTATTCTCGGGTTCGGGTTCATATCAGGTCAGATGTAGTCGGGTTCGGTTGTCACATTATCAGGTCGAATTCGAGTTTAGGTCGTTCTCAGGTCGGGTGCAGATCGGGTGCAGGTCGTAAATTTTCAGGTCTAACTCGGGTTCAGGTCAACACCAATTCGGACTCGAATCGATTTCGGATCATCACCATCTCGGGTCTCAAACAATTTTAACTCAAGTCGGTTTCAGTTAGTTTTGCAGGTTGGGTCAGTTTTTTACATTCCTATTAATAAATATCTTTAAGATAATAATTTGAATGATTTTCAAGAACAGCTTAGTAACTTGTGAGGTAAAGGGGGGAAACCCCTTTGTGATTCAATCCATAGAGAAGTTTGCAGTATCAATGTTGGTTATAACCATTAAAGGGGTACAGGCAAATCCACATAAATGTAGCCTACTTCTCTCCGACCAAAAGTGCCTTAACTATGTTATCCGACATCCAGGGAGCATGCGGAATTATATGTCCCGCACCGCGTAGTTCATGGTATTGAATCCATGGTAGTTGTTGAGCAATGTAGCGCTGCAGACTAACCAGCACAAGCAGATCCTCATCTCCATGCCACAGGTGCACCGAGCCCTCGTTATTCGGAAATGGATTTTCCAGATCCATGGGAGAGAATTCCCATGTTCCAAATCCAATTATCAGGTCCCGATGCACAGACTCGTATTCGCCTTGCTGTCTTATTAGTGCCTGAGGGACGACAAGACAAAGTATGATGATAATGCCAACAGATTCCAATTACTGAACCACCACAATCCACAAACACAACTAATCACATCTCAAATACCAATCAAAAGCCAACAAAATGTGAAGCGAACGATAACCAACTGCGAAGATTATAGAGAAGAAAATAAAGTGCAAGCAACTTCGAGGCAGAAACAAGCACATACCATGTGGTTCGAAGCTGCAGAGATTATCTCAGGCAAGAGTTTTTTTGTCCTCACTAGAGAAAATATCAGCACTGTGAGTGATAGCACTAGAACCTGGGAACCATTTTTGAGTGTTCCACCAGTAAGTAAGCCAGGGAGCATAATGAGACACTCGAAGTGCCCACTGGTCGTTGGGCAACTGTTGGTAATATGCTTCCGTAGATAAGTTTGAAGGAAAGCCAGGCCACCAGTAGTTAATAACTGGAGCTAACAATGCTGCCCCAGCTAACGTATTGGAGTTTCAAATATCCTTCTCGTTAAAAAAATAAGAAACGAAGCGAGGCAGTATGCCAACAGCTGTACATTTCTTTCTCTTGCATTCGAGTAGTTTAGACTTTAGAAAAAAACAATACCTTTGAGGGATGTACTTGAGGCAGCACAAATAACTTGCCCCCATAGAAAATCCGATTACATAACACTTGGATCCTAATCCTAATTGATCAGCAAGCTCCGAACTGTTCATTTGGGATTAGGGTCACTCTCTCCATAACCGGGCATGTCGAAAGAAACAATAAAGACCCCAAGAGATTCAACAATTTCCTGGTAGAAACAAAGAACCAAGTCCAAGGACACTTACTTCAACATGTTATAGTTGAAAGCTCATGAGTATCCAGCACAACATAGAAAAATGAACAACCAAGTACCGGTGACAAGGTATTGGCAACAACAGCATCATGCCTACAAAAATCAAAGCCATGGACATAGACAATTATATACTTTGTGGCAATTTCCTGCTTGAAAGTTGGCAGCTGAAATGGTGGAAAATTGGCAAGGAAAAATTACCAAATTTAATTCTTGTACTTTAGAGTATTTACAAGATTAGTCTTTAAGCTTCAACTATAAATACACTAACCCATTTAGCTTCAAAATCATCCCAAAATCATTCTAGCTCTCTCCCAATACTAAAGAAATTAGAGAATTTTTTTCTTGAGAGCAATTTTCAGGGTGAAATTGGGTTGTGAGTTATGAGTGTTTTTTATAAACACCTGTAAATTTTATCCCTTTAGTAAAATATCTGCAGCAGTCTGGTGACGTATATATAATTGGCCGAACTCCGTTATTAATTTTGGGTGTTATTATTCCGCTTTTATTTTGTATTCTCATTAATCTGGTTATAAGGAAATTACTCATTTAATTTTCCAACAACTGGTATCAGAGCTTTTGGTGGTGAATTTTGTCCATTTTTCTGTGATGTTACTGTTCATGTGAATAGTAAATTTCGTGAATAATAAAATTTGGTCGGCGATACGAGTTTGTCGACGGAGGTGTTCTAATACACGGTGGTTCGCATGAATTGTCAGAAACGATCCAAAAGAAGCCAGATTCGAGTGGAAGCGATGGTTGCAGACGAAGAAAAGGTAAAAATTAAGAAGTTTGATAGTGCGGACTTTGGCTTTTGGAAGATGCAGATTGAAGATTTTCTGTACCAAAAAAACTATATCAACCTCTCTCATGAAAGCAACCAGAAGGCATGAAGGATGAAGACTAGGCTATTCTCGACAGACAAGCCCTCAGAGTTATCCGACTGACGTTATCCCACAATGTTACTTTTAACATAGTAAAGGAAAAGATCACGGCGAGTCTTATGGCGGCTCTCTCCAGTATGTATGAGAAGCCATCGACCTCAAACAAAGTTCACTTGATGAGATGATTATTCAATTTACGGATGGCGAAAAGGGCATCAGTGGCTCAACACTTAAATGAACTCAACACAATCACAACCCAGTTGAGTTCCGTGGAAATTGATTTCGATAATGAAGTTCGAGCTTTAATTCTCTTATCATCTCTACCAGACAGTTGTAATGCTACTGTTACAGCAGTCAACAGCTCATCGGGGAAATAATAAATTGAAATTTGACGATGTTCAGGATCTGGTATTGAGTGAAGAAATTCGACGGAGAGAATCGGGTGAAGCATCATGCTCCTCAGCCTTGCACGCGGAGTCTAGAGGGAGAACTTCAGAAAGAAATCCAAATCGTGGCAGATCAAAATCTAGAAGGGTAAAATCAGGAATGATAAAGAAAGATTTTAACTATTATAATTGCGGCAAGAAGGGTCACTTTAAAAGAGATTATCGAGCACCGAAGAAAGATATTGACGTACAGGAATCTGCCAACATGACAGAGGAAATAAGTGATGCCATGATTCTAAGCGTCAACAGTCCGATTGAATCATGGATCTTGGATTCAGAGGCATCTTTCCACGCAACCCCATGCCACGAAATCATGAAGAACTATGTCAGTGATGATTTTGGGAAACTCATTTATTTGATGATGAAACCTTGAAGATCGTCAGAAAAGGAGACATCCGATTAAAGTTTCCAAACCAGACCACCTGGAATCTGAAAAGAGTTAGACATATTCATGGCCTCAAAAGAAATTTGATTTCTGTAGGACAGCTTGATGGAGAAGGGTATTGTACAACCTTTTCAGGTTGTGAATGGAAGATTACCAAATGAGCACTTGTCATTGCTCGTGGTAAGAAGACTGGTACTCTCTATGTAACCTCAAACTTGGAGAATACCATTACATTAGCGGTTGCTGATGGAAAATCAAACCTATAACACCAAAGGCTTGGCCATATGAGCGAGAAAGGGATGAAGACACTTTTGTCAAAAGGGAAGCTGGCGGATCTAAAGAGTATAGATGTCAGACTATGTGAGGATTGTATCTTTGGCAAACAAAAAAAAGTCAGTTTTGTACAGATTGACAAGACACCCAAGGTCGAAAAGTTAGAGTTGGTTCATACTGATGTATGAGGACCATCTCCAGTTCCATCTCTTGCAGACTCACTATAATATGTCACCTTCATCGATGATTCTACAAGGAAGGTGTGGGTTTATTTTCTGAAGAAAAAAATCAGAAGTCTTTGATACCTTCAGAAAATAGAAGGTCATGGTGGAAAATGAGATTGGTTTGAAAGTCAAGCGGTTGAGGTCTGATAATGGTGGAGAGTATAGAAATAGTAGATTCAGAGAATTTCACGCAAACAATGAGATCAAGATAGAGACAATAGTTCCCATGACACCGCAGCAGAATGCGTAGTAGAGCGCATGAACAGAACTCTGAATGAACGTGTCAGAAGAATGAAGATACATGTCAGCTTGCCCAAATTACTATGGGCTGAAGCTATCAACACTGCAACTTACCTGATCAACTGTGGGCCCTCAGTTCCCTTGGATGGTAGAATATCAGAGGAAGTTTGGAGGATAAAAGAAATAAACCTGTCACACTTAAGAGTGTTTGGTTATATTTCTTATGTACACATAAATTCTGCTGAAAAAAGTAAATTTGATGCTAAGTCCAACAAATGTGTCTTTGTTGGTTATGGTGGTGATGAGTTTGGTTACCGTTTTTGGGACTATGAAAATCGAAAGATCATCAGAAGGAGAGATGTCATTCTCATTTAAAATGTGATGTACAAAGACATGTCAACCATAGAATCAAGTAGCTCCAATACCGAAGTTGAAACAAAGGAATTTACTGAGTTTGAGGAGATTTCTGGAAATGATGTTCAGATCATTCCTGAACCAGTTCAAGAAGAACCAGGCACACCAAAACTGAGGCGTTCCTCCAGAATTCCTAAACCAACCTAGCATATTCGCCTTCTTTGTACTACTTGTTGCTGACTGATAATGGTGAACCAAAGTGCTATGATGAAGCAATGCAGGTGGAGGATTCAGTCAAGTGAGAGTCTTCCATGAAAGATGAGATGGACTCGCTTATGTCAAATCAGACATGGGAATTAGCTGAATTACCACTAGGCAAGAAAGCGCTCCATAAAAAGTGAGTTTACAGGATCAAAGAAGAGCACAATGGGAGAAAACTCTGCAAAACAAGATTGGTTGTCAAAGGTTTTCAACAAAAAAAAGGTATTGATTACAGTGAAAATTTCTCTCCAGTCGTGAAGTTGTCTACAATCAGACTGATGTTAAAAATTGTAGCTGCAGAGAATCTACATCTGGATCAGTTAGATGTAAAGACAATTTTCCTTCATGGTGATTTGGAGGAAGAAATCTATATGAGGCAACCAGAAGGCTTCATAGAGGCAGATAAGAAAAACTTGGTATGCAGGTTGAAGAAGAGTTTGTATAGTTTAAAACAAGCTCCTAGACAGTAGTACAAGAAGTTTGATAACTTCATGGGTAGCAGTTGTTTTACCATATGCCAAGCAGATCATTGTTTCTACATCAAGAAGTTCTACAACAGCTTCATTATTTTATTGTTGTACATTGATGACATGCTTGTTGCAGGTTCAGACATGCAAGAGATTATAAACTTGAAGCAGAAATTGTCGAAGCAATTTGCAATGAAAGATCTGGGCACTACAAAGCAGATTCTTGGGATGAGGATTAAGAGAGACACAAATTCGGAGACTTTGATGTTATTACAGGCTGATTACATCAATAAAGTACTCTCCAGATTCAAAATGCAAGATGCTAAACCAGTAAGTACACCTTTAGGTGTTCATTTTAGACTCTCCAAAGAAAAATCACCAAAGACAGAGAAAGAACGTGCACGCATGGTAAAGGTGTCGTATGCCTCAGCAATTGGAAGTCTGATGTATGCCATGATTTATACTAGACCAGATATTGCTCAAGCAGTGGGAGCTGTTAGCAGGTACATGAATAATCCGGGCAATGTACACTGGGAAACAGTCAAATGTATCCTCAGATATATGCGGGGTACCACAAACAAAGCACTTTGTTTCAAAGGTGGAGATACGATACTGACAGGCTACGTAGATGCTGACTTAGCCGAAAATGCTGACATCAAAAGAAGTACTACAGGGTATGTCTATACTCTAGGAGGTACCGCAGTGAGTTGGGTTTCTCAACTACAGAAGATAATTGCTCTCTCCACAACTGAAACAAAATATGTAACCCCTCAGATCGATATGGTTAACCCGATCCGATCTGAGGTGTCACATTAAGGCCACCGTAGCGACCTACTGTAAAAATCTCGGAAAATTAAAAACTTTTATTAAAACATGTAAAGTCATAAAATGATTTATGAATACAAAATAAAATTTATCAGTATTCAGAAATAAAACAGATTTTCAGACTCGTATATAAAACAAAATACAACCTACATGCCCCCTAATCACATGTACCATACTTTACAAACAACGTTGGAGGAAGTCCTATACTAATGTCGATAGTTGCACTGGTACGATTCTTTTAACCTGTAATGGTGAGTAACAGAGTGAGCTTTGGAAAGCTCAATAATATAGAACTATCAGATGATATT